TAATAATAATAATAATAATAATAATAATAATAATAATAATAATAATAATAATAATAATAATAATAATAATAATAATAATAATAATAATAATAATAATAATAATAATAATAATAATAATAATAACATTAATAATAACATTAATAATAACATTAATAATAACATTAATATTAATATTAATACTAATAATAATAATTATGAGCGGGAAAGAGGAAGAAAGCTTTACTACCACTTAAATTTTATGACTTACGCACTGTGACTTAAAAACGCCCTTTGGAACCTCTCGTGCAGTGTTAGTGGAACAGTTCTTCTGCCTATTCCATCCTTTTGTCTCCTCTTGTCACCGGTTCTCTCCTTGACATTCATTTAAAAAAAAATTTTAGCATTCCAAAATATCAGTCAAAACATCGTGCTGAAAACAACCCGTTTAGCTATCATAAAATTCTTGTTTCCATTCATATTTGCAATGCGGTATTGGATGGCTATTTAATCTTTGTACCATTACCGCCACCACCTTTCTGTATCTCTTTCTAGTTCTTCCGCTACAACAGTCAATTGCTTATTACAAATAAATCTCGAGCAAACTTCTCATATAATTCACAGGACTTGAAAATAGTTCTCCGATCATAGCAAGTGTAGTAGTATTTGATTATGTTGACTAAGATTCGGGGTTATCTTGGGAAATTTCTAAAATCCCAATATATTCACTATATTTCTTCGAAAACTTGAAAGGAAATTTCTGGAGAATAAAGTGATCGACTTGCTAAGTCTAATAACGAACCAATCTAAACAATGCACTAAAAAGCCCAATTTCCCTTCAGTGTTAAAATTTCCAATTTATACGAGATATCAAAATCTCTTCGACATTAATATTTTCTCACTTACCTATTATTCACTCAATTTTTTACGAGCATCTCCTCATTATGGGGGAAAAGTATGCATGTCCTAATGAGGTTGCGAGCTATGATGGCGGTGCATATGGCTCCGGTAAGTCTCCCATGCCAGACATGTCTCAAGTGAAAGATTGGAAAAGTATGTCTACGGGCAAGATAGGCTTGCTAATCTCCCGGCAACTATTCTAGGAGAAGGACAACTCTAACTTCAAAATCAGGTAGATGGAGCTCGTTTAGCTCTGTAAGGCCATCCATCTAAGAGAAGGTTGCTCGAACAAAATCAACGAGACTTCAAATCTTAAGGACTTCACTGTCACCGTTCTAGCTCGCTAAGTTCTGGCAGATAAACTTAGGAGCAAACAGTGGGGTCAATTCTGTACATGCTGTGCTTCACCTAAAAAACCCACTGCGTAGACTGGAAGGAAACACCCATATTTGTATCGTTTGCAGCAAGCATGGGTAAAGTCTTCCCAAATCTTCCCTCGCAAATAATAACATTCAGTAATGGAACTATGGTTGCATGCAAACACACAGAATACTTTAAAGAAGTGAGGAAGAGAATACACAACACGATTCCAAATAACATGACTAATTAATGACCGCATGTATCATATAACCCTCTTCCAAGTGGTCAACAAATATGGCACGATCGAATGATGTGTACATGACTTGCATTATTCCCTCTCTTGTAAAAGTATGTATCAAACGACAGAATCAAAATGTTTCCTATTACTGTTTAAATTTCGAGAGAGAATCACAGTTCAAATAATGCATTTCCAGGTTTGTACCATAAGTCCCATAATATTTACCGCCCAAAAGATTTCCCATACAATCTACAGTTACAAAAGCATCACAGATAATGGAAAATAGACAGGAGGTTATGTGACTTGCAATGTGTAAATAAATTATTATGCATAACCTTCCAATGTTCACTGCCCTTCTACTATAGCATCTCATCTATTGCCATTCAATTATCATACTACTTCATCTGTTCTTCCTTTCTTATTCTATACCTTGCCCTATTCTCTTTCCAATGTCTGCTTTTTCCTCGCAATTGCTCTTTTGATGATCTCCTCCTCTACGTAAGCTCTTTTCATTCTGCAAGGTCATCCACCTTTCAGTAATAAAATATTTGTAAACTCCTATCGTTTCAGATCTATTGATATTACAAGATGAGGAAGGAAGCAAAGAAGAAAAGTAAAAACAGGTCTGCTTCCAAAAGGGATCTCCAAAAGGGACCTTACCAAACCTAAATATACGCCAGCAGCACTACGTGATTCCCATATAACGCGATATTACATCATGTAGCCTGGATCAATAGCTGATGGGATGGACTTCTTCTTGTTTCACTGGTTGAACTCGTAAGACCGTGTCATTTGCATTCAAAAATATGATATGAAAACATGTGCTATTGGTATAATAGTTTTCTCTAGAACAGGGTGACAGTTTCGCTTAAAAATGTAACACAGAAAAGGAAAAAATGTGAGAAAGGTTTTTGAAAGGAAATGTGACCTGACTCTACTGATCGATATTTAGATTGAAGAATAGCGTGAATCATATATATAATTGACCCTTATGGACTCTCTGTTGATGTCATGCTTTTGGAACACACATACTATCTGATAACTACTCTCATTTACTATTTCTCCTCATTCTTCATCAATACCAATTCATCTGTAGATAGAACTAAATGACATAGACAATTATGAAATTTGTCCATTTCTAATGCTAATTTTATACCTATGGCAAGAAGGTTGAGGAAGAGGAATAAATGTTAAAGACTAATAGCTAAACCGATTTTCCAAAATATATGCAACGGATAGATGCATATATTTTAAAATTAACTACCACTTTAAAGAATTGAAACCAAACAAACCTGTCTGTTTCGAATTCACTAACTAGAGGTGGTGAGCTGGTCAGGTTTGGTGGACTGCTTCCCATTATATCCGTTGAAGGCGCTCTGTTCAAATCTGTAAATTTTTGACAGTAAAACAATTACAATAAAAATAAAGTAGAGAACAGAGAAATACTGCTAAGCAAGAATAGTCAAATTAAAAGGTGGATATTAAATGAAGAGGATAAACATTCTTTTCTAACAGTCATGCTCTCAATAACAGCGAAAATACTATGACCAAAATCCTAGGCAGATGTTGCCATAATTAATAGCAGCGATATGTAAATTTTTGGACAAGCCACTAGAACAAAGCATAATCCATAAGACTTTAAACGTTTTAGTTTTTTTAACTTCAACATTTCATTATATATATATATATATATATATATATATAAA